GTGGGACTGAACTCTTTCAGTGCATGAGAAAACGATGTGAAAGCTCCTAGGTATCACTGGCAGGCGTATGTAAATTCACACGCTATCGCGTTCTGTCTTTTTATTGCTGCATAGCAGAAATTTGAACGAGATTAATTCTAACTTTTCTTCTTACCAAGTATTATCTAACTTGTCGTTGAGAAAAATGTAAAGCATCAGGAAACAAACATTGTTTAAAACTTTTTCAGCCGCTGAAATGTTCTTAAACAAACCTTCTGTTAGTTTTCAATAGGATTTTCAGTTCGAGTAGCAGGTCAAATTGTCCAATGTTTACTACATTTAATAGGGACGCGTATGGACGTGATAATTAATACACGCAAATATTCGAGTTCCAGATGTACTATTGCCTTCATCATCGCCGGAAGAGGAATAAGAAATGGATAACTCATTTGAGGCCGGTGGAAGAGTAGGTACCAACCTCTGACGATAAGAACGAGAATGTTTTCGATATTTAAGCTTAAATGCAACTTGGTCCCAAGAATTGCCCCCTCTTATTCTTCTTCCTCCTCTAAAGAAGTGTTAATATATGACACAGTTTTCAAAGGAATAAGCTCTCGCAATATATGCCAAAAAGGAGTGAAATATTCCCAGTCATCACGGATGGCCATAATATTTCAAATACAAAGGGTTTTTGAATTTCTGTGTTCTCGCAACATGTCTTTCTATTGTGCCGTAGAAATTCTCTGAAATAGATTAATTAAAATTGTGCATGTTATCAAGAGTTGCTTACTTTGTCGCTGTGAAACATGTCAAGCATGGGAAAATTAAAAAATAAAATACTTTTAACCCTTTCAGTCTCCGGCTTGATATTAACCGAATCCAACTTGAAATTCCACAGCTATTTTTTTAAATAAAAGACAGGCCTATTCATTAAAAGAAACTCTGAGACACTTATATGTGCAAAAAGTCGTGAATTTAGTCAAAAGGAAGCAACCCTACAAAACTGAGCTTTAACGGCAGATCCGAATACCCGGAAGAGCATTAAAAATTTCTCAATAAGCAAGACTTTAGTAAAAAAGGAAGGGGTTTTCCGGAACGTACGGCTACATCGAAATGGCTCATAGCACGTCTGTCAGCATCGCGGGAGGCTCGCTGGAAGTCGTCCACGTCATTTAGGAAGTTTTCCGCAATCGACTGAGCGTGACGCGAAGCGGTGAACATGTCTGGACCTATAATGTCAATGTCCACGGTAGCCAACATGTCGCCGCAGTGAAGAAAGGGAAGAAAAAAGAGGAAACAGAAAAGTCAGTCTTTTGTTTTGGTTTCCTGCCGCAGCCCAAAAATGATAGCTGAAGCACTATCAATGACTGTGTTCTCCTTTTGCTACGAATAAGGAAAGCGAAAAGTGTGCAGTCTGCTAGCCGTGTGTTTGTGCGCTGCTTGTTGCACCCTTATGCTACTTCGAGGACATCAAGAATGCGCAGAAGACGGTTCAACGAATCAGCACATGATACACTGTTGCAGCTGTCAGCTTTGTTAGGAGAGAGCGAGGGGATCGAAACAAATCCAGAAGAAAGAAAGACAGCAAGAAAAAATGTGTACTTCGTGAATGTTGACTGCGCAGATTTTAATACTTTAAATGTGCGGGCGTACACTCGATTCGGATTGGCTGATGCGCGACCTCGAACGCGCACACTGCCCACGTAGGCCATGTAGGCGATTCTACTGCAGCTAGGTCTTGAACCGGGACAGGACCTTTCGGCCAGGGTAAAGGCGCGTTAGCCAGATGGACCAATGAGCTGTTAGTGTCATTATGGCAATCGTCCCGCTTAAGGCGTGGGCGTAGATGCTAATTTTGAAGTTAAAGGTGTGTGTGATGGGCCTTGGCAAAACTAATCGGTTGTGACCTTTTCAACAATTTATTCCAGCTCTTTAGACCGGGAACCAGGTTAAAGAAGCTACCCTGGATATTTGTGTGGCACAGTTTACTTACCTTTTATCAACAAACAAAATAGTGTAATTTAGATCAAATAAATTACCTAATCTCGTAAATGCCACAGCATTTTAATTTAATGCATTTCCCCGAAAATCCGTGAAGCTGACTTTTGGACATTATTACTTGATCATACTCGTCCAGAATTCAAACCTATTCGCTGTTTCATCATATAGACGGATCATCATTTGTCAAGTTACATAAAATATCATATTACAAGTTAATCATGCGTAC